CAAAAACCTGTCAGTTTGTCCCCTTCCACTCCCCGCAATCTGGCCTGTTGTGTGGTAATCCCCCAAGGTCGCCATGACAATAGAACTTCCTGACCCCTGTGTGTGGTTTGTGTTTCCAGGGCAACGTTTGGGAGCAAGTATTGCGTGTACCCTTCATTCTGGAGATGATCAGCGCCATTCCCTTCATGATCACTGTGAGTGGAAGGATATGCCTTACTGAGCACTGACCGCTCAAGCACTGCACTCCCATCCTCCCTTCTTGAACACACATCACACCTTTAACACCTTAAATACAGTAATACAGAAAGGCGGGCACATGCTCACACAACAATTTTCTTTGCAAGAAATCCTGTGACTGTATACAACGTATGAAAAAAAAAAGTGATGAGATAGAAGGCCTAGCAGACTGAAGCTTTCTCTTCTTGACAGGTGATTTTGCCCTCCTTCAGAAATCTCTTTATCCCTGTATTTCTCAATTGCTGGCTGGCCAAACACGCTTTGGAGAACATGATAGTGAGTGAAGCACTATCTCCCTATCCAATTTTTCCATTACCTTAACCTCAACATCTCTGTTATGTTATTTTGTTGGCATGCAATTGCCCCTCTCTGTCTCTGCCATTTCAGCTCACCAGTTTTTTTTCTGCTATGAAGGTATCAGTCACAAAGCATTTAAACTTGCACCTTGGGCTTGGCATTGAAGCTTTTTTCTTTACATCCCCTCTGCCTCCATCTATCATATGACATCCAGATGACTAAGCTTGCTTCCCAATTTTTAATACCCCCCCCCCCCTCCCCCAACATTTACATCTGATTTTTAAGTGCATTTTCATATTTCATCCATTGCTTTTATATTTTTTTTCCTACCATCCAGTAACTTCATTTTATCCACATGTTACACTTTAACAATGCAGCTCTTAGGCTTTAGTTCCCATACATTAACTCATAACTGTGTCTGTCTCTCTGCAGAATGATCTCCACAGGGCGATCCAGCGGACACACTCAGCTATGTTTAACCAGGTGGTGATACTCATCAGCACGCTGGTCTGTCTGATGTTTACATGGTGGGTATTCTCACTGCTAATACTGAACTGAGAAGGGGGGCAACAAGGAAAGAAAAGAGGGGAAAGAGAGACATTAAATTGTGGTTGGACAGGAAGTGAAAGGTGTCACAGCTTTGGACAGGGTGAGGAAAGGAGCACAAAGAGAGTGAGACAGACACAAGGCGCAAAGAAATTGTGTGATACATGCGGGGAAAAAAATGGATTTAAAAATCCTGCTCCTGGAAGCTAAGAGAGAAAAAGGCAGAGAGCAGAGAGGTAATTGGTAACTGTGAGAATGAGATAGTGCTCTGAAATGACAACTGCCGATTCCTTGTGTGCAGTGGAGGATGTGTCAGCTCGCTGCATATCTGGTGTGAAAGCCTGAGCCAATCCAGAAGATCCTACACACAGCATGAATTAAGATCTCTGACCATTTCAGGGTTGGCATTTGCCTGTTGACTCATCTATCGCTTAAAGAATACAATAATATACTCAGCTGGTACTCACACACCTATACACACAAATAAACAATGTTCAACAAAGGCATATGCACAGGCATGAAAAGCAGCTGTATAATTGCCTCTACAGACACCTATAATTCACCCAGTATGTGAACTCTCTTTCTCAGTAATGCTCACTTCCTCTGCTTATTTTATCCATCTTACCCAACCTGCCCTCCTCCATCAGCATCTGCGGTATCCAGCACCTCGAAAGAGCAGGCAACAACCTGACCCTGTTCGACTCGCTGTACTTCTGCGTGGTCACCTTTTCCACTGTGGGCTTTGGAGATGTCACCCCCCAAATCTGGCCCTCGCAGCTCCTGGTGGTCATCATGATTTTTGTTGCGCTCATTGTGCTCCCCATCCAGGTGAGAAATGATTGAGATAACCTCTAATTTAATCACAGACAGATTATATTAGAGGTTAAAAACAACAGATGAAACCAGGAGTAAAGTTTGACAAACAAGATATCACTCTATAACAGAAAGCTTAGGCGAAAAAAGACACAAAAAATACTGAGTTCAAAAGAGTTGAGACCTGACGGTCCTTCCCCCATCATTTTTTATTTTCAACTTTTGAAGCAGCCAGCTATGCCAGGCTGGCCTCCAGTTTACATGGAGGTAGAAAAATCTCAGACAAACACAAACAAGGCTTTAAATTCATCAAATAAATTTTAAAATCCTTCCAAAAATTAATAGATCTGATAGTTTTGCAATCATAAAAGCTAATTAGTTTTCTTTGATAAGCTCATTACAGTAAAGATAGACTAATAAGTCTTGTACCCCCCCCCCTTTCTTGCAGAATAATGTGATGACTCATTGCATCCTACGTAGACTTACAGCACTATTTTTATTCAGAGAACAGCAAGAGTGTCTTCCTTACTCGCTCTATTCCCCAAATCCCTCTCCTGTCATTTAGCTGCTGTGGAGGGGACTTCAGGAACCATTTACACAAACATACTATTTGTACATGGACTGATAAAAAAAAAAAATCCTGACAAATGTATCAGTTGCATTGTATCCTAATGATTGTTTCTTATATTTGTGTAAACCTTTTTTCCCTGAGGTAGTTGGCGTACCTTGGTGCCTCCAAAAAGATGTGAAATTGCTAATAAGGAAGAATTTCCTCTGTGTGTTTACTGTACCTGCAGTCCGAGGAGGGCCTCTCTGGGCAGGGAATCACACTCACACATCACTTATAACTTCTCTGACATTCTTGTGTTGTTGTAAATTGGATTTCTTTTGTGATGGCACTACACATCTTTTGCTATCTTTTCCTTTTTTATCATGTCACATAAGCAGTAGGTGTAAGGCTCAAATCCTACGCGTGCTTGATCAACTGACTATTAACATTCTTATTGTTATTTTATTGTTATATTATCTTATTGTTTTGTCTTTTCCATCCACAGTGACCAGGTGGTAGTAAGCATCACTAAAACCATCACAAAAGCAAAAGACATGAGCATGAATACACTTTCGCTGAACAAGCTGACTCATAAAGAAATGGCGATCTGTGCATCACCAATGTGGATGCCATGTCATCTTCCCAACTCCCTCTCACAATCTTTTATCCATAAATACCCCTTGACATTTAGAAACTTAGCCCCAACCCCCATCCCCACTGCGTGCGTGCGTGCGTGCGTGCGAGACAGTTTTTAAATGTGTGTCCGTCTGTTTGACTCTGAGTTCTGCCATGTCCTGTCCAGGCTGCACAGGCTAGCCATAGAGCATATCAGGATTCAGCTGCTGTCTTTTTCTTATTGCTGCCTCATTAATTGGCATTTTCCTGTACCTGTCCACAACACACTACAGGAAATGAACTCCATGACAAGTCGTTTCGTGTCATTTTGAGCCTTAAAAGAATTCCGTTCCAATTAAATTTCACAATACTCTAAAATAGAGGCTTGATTGTTCTTGGGGCAGCTAGAGGTAGAGCAAGTCGCCCAATAAAGAGAACATTGGCAGGTCTCTCCCCAGCTCCTCCTGCCCGCATGTTGAAGTGTCCTTGGGCAAGAACCCCAAATTGTTCCAGAAGTATGTGCCATTGGTGTGTGAGTGTGTGTATGAGCATTAATTTCTTTCTGATGAGCAGCTGCAGCCTCTGCAATCATTGTATGAATGTGTGTGAATGGGGCGAATATGACATGTACTTTAAAGGGCTTTGAGTATACATTAAGTACAATCCATTGTTGCATCACAAATCTACCACAGTTGGTGCCATTGACAACTGGCTGTACACAAAAAGTGCCACTATTGTTGTATGGATAATGTTTTCCAGTTTTAATGAGCTGACATTATCGCTGCTCAAAATCGATCAAATTTATCTAGAACAAAATGAGTACTTCCCAGAGAAAAAGAGCACACAAATGAACTGTCTACTGAATTCTGCTGACATGGATGTTGCATTTTAACATAATCAGCCGTTCATTGCGACTGTCTCCATTACAGTTGGCAGAGGGTTCAATACATCATCTCGTCAACTGTATAGTATTAGCGTCATGTCACTTAAATCAATAAGAATAATTGGAAATGAGTGAAATGTGTGACCAACAAGTGAACACCACTCTGTATTAAAGGAATAGTTTGGATTTGGGGGGAGCTACACTTTCCCTACTTATACAGGGTGACACCAAGTTGCATCATAATGGTTCTTGCTGGACCAGCTAAAATGACCAAGGAAAAACAGAAGAGGAAATAAAGAAAAATATTTACTCTCAGTTTTAATGAGGTTGACAGGTGAACGTAAGGCTTTCAGAGGGTGAATGATGAGAAGCCTCTGCCACTAACTGAACTAGCTTAACTATAACTACAGCTGATCAGTCTTAATTATTCGTTTTGTTTTTTTGCAAATTAATCTCTCCATTTTTAGCACCAAAACATTTCCTGAGCCCTGCTTGTTGCAGGAGGACATTGTTTACACCAAACTACAGTGATCAGAACTAAAACTCTCTCTTTCATGCACCTCTTTATCTGTAAAATCCCACCATCCACCTTTTCACCCGGCCCTCCCCAACATTACAAAAATCTGTGAGATTTTTCTCAGGCCTACAGTTATTTCCATAACCCACCTTCTCTTATTTATCTCTGGCTGCTATCATTTCCATTTAGCTACCATCTTGAACTCCACTTTTCTTAATTCCCCCAAACACTCTCCATAATCAAACGGAAACACTATACAGTACAAGGCATTGTTTTCTTTTTATGCACCACCTGGTTCCTCCCTGTATTGCAGCTAACCTAATCCAGTTTCCATCTGTTGAATGTGATGGATGTCGTACTGAATGTAGTTCGAGCAGCTGGCCTTTCTGTGGATGGAGCGGCAGAAGTCCGGGGGAAACTACAGCCGCTACAGGGCACAGACGGAGAAACACGTGGTGCTGTGCGTCAGCTGTCTCAAGATCGACCTCCTCATGGACTTCCTTAATGAGTTCTTCGCTCACCCCCGACTTCAGGTCTTCCAAAATGGTTTTAAGTAGGACAAGAGGGTGTTGGGGGGTCTTGTGTTTGTGTGCATTTGTTGTCTGTAATCCTTTTCGGGAGCCTGAGCAGCTGAGGTTAAAGCAGAGGATTAGTTCAGTAGCAATTCAATAGCACAGATCAAACTGCTGTCTTATTGATGTTGGAGCAGACGTGTTTGCTTGGGGCGGGCTAGATTCTGGATGGAGATTTTTTTGTTTACTAGACAGAGTTTTGTGGTACAGATTTTACTGCATGAAATCAAGATACATATGATTCAGTTTCCTGTAAATTTAGACCAAGGACGGAAAGTTGGTGTACAGTGTTCAAAAAACACTGCTTGACTCCTGTAAGTGTGACAAACTATGCTTTCCATGGTAAAGGACTAGGGCTTGTATGTTCAAGTTTAAATAAGGTGTTATTTGCTGCACTGCCAATTCACTGTGGAGTTACATCAGCTTTGTCATTGAGATTGCTCAATTATCATCACGAGAACTAGGTATGAATGGTCATGTGATAACAGGTACTGCAGGGAATCGTATCCCGTCTCTGTTTAGGGGTTAAGGGTGACCAACTGTAAAAAGATAGCAGGTGGACTTCGAGTTAAGAATGTTTTAATCAAACAACAAGGTCGGTGTACTTTTCCCACTCAATCATATAATCTCGTCATGGCAGGGGTTAGGGTTAATTTTATGAGTCCATTATTTTGAAGACTGTCTTAGTTGTCATGTCAGTTTGAGGATGAAAATCATTTGTACTCTATTTTCAAGACCAAGGGGCGACCTAATTTAGATGATATAGAAACTCACTTTTGAATTAAATTAAACACAGTAAATCTTATGTCTCATCACAGGTAGTACTGGATTTTGACTGTTTTTAGGTCTAGGGAATGAATTACCTTCAAGCCTTATGGCTGTATCAGCTACTAACAGGCCATAACATACCCTGAATGCCTTGACTGCCACCAGCAAAAGAAGGATTCAGGTCTTACTAACCAAAACAATGGATGAGTGTTATCATTCATTGTCCATCACAGCCTCAACAAAAAGTTTCTCTTTGCTATTGTCTGCAGTGCTCCACTCGCAAACAATCACTCTCCCTGCTTTAGCGTCTGCCCACTGGCTCATATTACAACCCCAAGTTTGCAACTTTGAACGTGACACTTGTCCAGTCTGCATATCAAGTGATCCCAGATGGCACGCCAACCCCAAAGTTAGGAGCACTGGATTACAGACAGAACGTAGTCTGTGGAATATTTCGAAAGTAGTACAAACTAAATGCAAAAATTATATATAAAAATATGTCTCCTACAAAACACCTCATCCAGCAGACTTCTTGCTAACGTCTTGCATGTGGTTAAACCTTCAGCCACGATACCAATTGTGTGTGCATGTTGGTGTGTGTGTGTGTAGGACCATTATGTGGTGATCCTTTGTCCAGCAGAGATGGATGTCCAGGTTAGGAGGGTCCTTCATGTCCCTCTGTGGGCCCAAAGAGTCATCTATCTGCAGGGTTCTGCCCTCAAAGACCAAGACCTGATGAGGGCCAAGTAAGTCACTGTGATAAAAAATATAACAACAATCAAGAGTCTAGAAATAAAACAGTAATCAGATTTTTGTATTTAGTTTCATACGAACACTGTATCATTTTTCTCATGTCAATTAGAAGCATTATTATCACAGTTGCAAAATCAAGCCTTGAAACCCCCCATAACAGACCTTCAGCTGTGATAGCTCATACATGATACCTGAAGCAACTTGCTTTTTGTTTACCCCCTGGCTTCTGATAATACAGCCGCAGCACCTTAGGCTGGCTTTGTCTCAGAGAAAGAAAAGGAGTAACGGCCTGTTTGTTTAATCTCCCTGTCTCCTCGCCTCCTACTATCTCATCCATAAATGGCGTAGGCTTGAAAGACACATTGGTTCGTTTGATGTTCTATTGTCCTGCTTTTTTCTCTTTTGTCCTGTCCCTCAATAACATGACAACACTCTCCTTCTCGTGGTTTCTGTCACTTTTCCAACTCTGTCTCTCTCTGTTTATCTTTTTCTCTTACTCCTGTGGCCACATGCTCTACTAACTGCCTGCAGGATGGACGATGCTGAGGCCTGCTTTATCCTCAGTAACCGGTTTGAAGTGGACCGCATTGCTGCTGTATGTTCCTCACTGTATCGCCATGATTCAACACACTGCAAAACATGCATATTTCTTGCCCGGTTATAGCTCCTAATTTTTTTTTAAACAAATAAAAATGTCTTGTAATTTTCTTTTAATATTTCTCTGGAGTGAACTGCTTTTTTAGAAAATTACATTGTACATGAATTGCACAGTAAAAATGACTGAAGCTAAGAGTAAAACAAACTGGCTTGACATAAAAAAAAATTAACTATACGCAGGCATACTGCAAAAAAACAATGAGCTTCATAGGTGCAGTGCATGCTATACAGCACTCTGGAATTCACACTGAATCATTTGGCACATGCCTTCCTTAACTTGTCATGTCAGTAAACCAGAGTTGATAAAAATAAATTAAGCTACATGTACATTTCTAAGCAGCAACGTTATCGTAGGTTTAGGGTAGCAAGGTAACTGAGACTGTCATTTTTGTGGAAAGCTGAGATTGTTTGAAAAAACCATCATTGGATGGATCACTATAAAATTTAGTAGATGCATTCATGTACCCCTCCAGATAAATTGTAATTACTTAGTGATTTCTTAATTTGTTTAATACTTTATGACTAAATACTTGCAAAACTAATGACATTCCCATCAACCTCACCTGTAGGCTGCTTTGTCTTTAGTGCTAACTGGCAAATGTTAGCATGCTAACACACTAAATTAGGTGAAAAAAGGTGAATATGATAAACATAACTAAACATCAGTGTGTTAGCATTGTCACTGTGAGCATGTTAGCATGCTGTCATTAGCTTTTTAGCTCAAAGTAACGCTGTGCTCAGATACAGCCTCACAGAGCCACTAGCGTGGCTGTAAACTCATAGTCTTGTTTTTTGCTTTTGACTGATTTTTCAACAACGTTTGCAAGGCCAGTTTTACTCTTCCTAGCCACTGTGCAGCCTTGAATACTTCATCTGTCAGAATTGCATTGCTCTGAAATTTTGCAGGGACCATTCAGTTGCTCTGTGCAGTCAGCGATTTAAGAGGATTATTAGAGAGGAGCTAAAATCTGATGCTGCTAATGATGGGTTTCTACCTCTCTTTCTCTCTCTGTCGCACTTTTCCTCTGTCTCTCCCGTGTTTTCACTCCATCCATGTCTCTCACCGCCATCTCCAATTTTCTCAGGATCATCAGACCATCCTCAGAGCCTGGGCAGTGAAAGACTTTGCTCCAAATTGCCCCCTGTACGTCCAGATTCTCAAGCCAGAGAACAAGTTCCACGTCAAGTTTGCAGGTGGGCAGTGAGTGTGAAATCAAATATATTGGCAGCCTCTGGAGGTATCTGTCCTGTTTGGATGCAGCTACTATTATTTGATCACATCAGGATTCAGGAAATAATGGGATGACACCTGCTAAATAATTAGATTTTGCTCCGTTGGTGACTGGAACCGTGTTGTCACCAGTCATGATACATAACAACATAAAAGATGGGTGATTAGGTAAGCATTTTTAGTTTGCTCTGCAGGGTTGCATTGCGATGGCATGGGAAACTGAGTTGTCCTATCTGCACTTTATTTCCTGTGTGTGTCATCAGCTGTCGTGTCCAGTTTTCGACATGAGTTGATCCGCTTCATTTGTAAGCCTGAAAATTGTCTTTTCTGTCAGCGTCCCAGTGCAGCAACACAGATCTCTGTCGTCCAAGCTCTGAAGAAGTGCTGGACAGATTGGCTCGACTTGGCTGTAAGCTTTCTTAAGGGTTTTCACATGTCTTTTGGAGAGTGTCCCCTCTTCTCCTGCTCAACAGACAAGATGCCAGTCAATCATCTGCGAGTGAAACAAGAGGAACGAAACTCTCTCTCACCCTTTCCTCTCTCTCGCACATCTCCCTGCCTACAGCCCCGGAGAACGTCAAACTCAATTCTAGCTTGCCGCCCTCATCCCAGCTGTCTCTATTAATGCTTAACGTTTTACTTTGCTACCTTGGCAAAGAAAATCCCCTTCTTTTGATGAGTTCTGCTCAGGCAGACAAGCTCTCCAGTCCTCCTTTACCCCTGCAGTGCTGATTAAACACCTCACTGCCAGACCAGATTGAAGTCTTTGTTATTAGTGGGGCAGGAATTGTCAGGTAGAAAATTAAATTCATGTTCACCCATGATAACACACGCTCTGTATTATATGATTATCAGCTAGCCCTGTGGGGTGAAACTCGCGCTGCTGTGCTGGGAGTGAGACATTTCTATGAATTGCTTTGATGTGTTAACTTATATTGACATAGTGTTGGACATGTTCAAATATCCTCGTCATTCATTTTAAATTACAAAATTGTTTCTTATGAAATAGCTGATATCAATGCCCTTATGGGCGCTGTCCCTGTGGGAATACAATACAAAGTAAAGTACCCCTTTAAACACGTAAAACACATGAGTTCACAATTGACTGACTGTAATGTCCCTCTAATCTAAAGTCACTATAGGTAGACGCAGAGAGCAAATCAGTATGCAGTCACATGCGCATTACTGTAAGTACAGACGCCATGTTTTGACACCACTTGGAAAATACTCACAAAGTGCTAGTGTGGGAGGCATTAATGAGCAAGAGATACAAGATTTAATTTGATCCGCAGGAATAGCTTAATAACAGCCTGGCGTTCATTAGGAAAGATGTGTTGGTATGATGCTGCAGCGGGGCAGGAAACCCTGAGGCGTTTGAGTAACCAAACAGAAATGGGTACGGAGGTTTGATTGATTATCTCCCCAGTTTATGTTTTGATCCACGATAGCCAGTCGCCCTCCTGAGTTCTGCTCATTGTAGCCACACGGCGTTGATAGCAGCTCACTTAAACAAACAATAACGGCCTACTGATTTAATTAGCTCATCTGGTGGACCTGTGGTCAGGTTGTAATTGCCCTCTTGCAGAGGGTGCAAATAACCTGCACACACATATCTGCACACACAGGATTACATTTTTAATACTGGTCTGTGATAGAAATCAACACGCAGTCTGAAGAAATGGGTACAAAAACCCAGATATCCTGAGGGAGGGCGACAGAAAGAGAAAAGAGAGTGTGTGTGTGTGTGTGTGTGTGTGTGTGTGTGTGTGTGTGTGTCTAGGTCAGTAATTGGTTTCTCTCTTGGTCCAGGCACCTGAAGGATAGAGGGCAGGGTGAAGGGTAAGCATAGAAGAATATGGGAAGAGAAGGGATCACAGTGGTGAAGACGGGTTCAAGAAGAACAGAGAGTGGATTTTGTGTGTAACAGTAATGAATGTTGTTGCTCCATTATGTATGGTCAGAGAATAAAATTGAGGCCCTTAGAGGTCGTTCAGAATGTACCGCGTATGAAGAAAATTGTGAATAAATTTAACCATGGTGACTAGTGTTCAGCTCGGAGATTGATCAAATCTATCTCACGAACACCAGTAAAGACCCTAAAATCGTCAATGACTTGAGGCCTATAGCATAAACATCACTAGTAATGAAAACCCTGGAGAAAGTTGTTTAAATCAGAAACTGTGGGTGTAACTTGACTCAACCCCCTGCAGTTTGCATAAAAGCTGTGAGAGATGTTAACAATGCAACGTTATTTACATGAACATTTAGAACAAACAAGCACTTGTGCAAGATTACTTTTTGTTGAGTTCCCGTCAGCCTTTAATATGATGCATCCTCAATAGTTGTAAGAAAGCTGATATCTTATTTCCATTTAGATCATCAACTCATCAGATAGATTATAAATATTTTGAACAGAACTAATATGTTAGTTGACCATCTGAATCAATCAGTACTCTCACTGGCTCACCGCAGGGTTATGTCCTTTCTCCTCTGTTTTTGTCTTGCAGCTGTCATAGTAACCATAGAAATCAACATCTTGTAAAATTTGCTGAAAACACGTCTCTGCTCAGTCAGTTAGATAAATCATGTGAACCCATAATGCAAGAATATGTAGACTTGTGCAATACATTTAAATGTATCGAAAATGAAAGAAATGATTATCGCACAAAAATATGGTCTTCCCACAGTGTGTAAATTAATTGTTCATGCGTACTTCTGTTTGCAACCTTCTCTGCCTTGAATGGCCCTTGAGGGGTGAAGAAAGGATCTTTAATTTGAATTTAATTCATACAACATCACTGTGTTTGTGTTTTCCCCTGCAGGCTTTAGATGCCCATTGCTCTTTAAAAGAGTCCAGGCTGAATGGCAAGAGGCTACTCTGTGTGTCTGTGTGTGAGTTGCATTAGGATGTACAGTTCTGTGCCTAAAGAATATTGATACTTCAACAAAAGATCCATAATCAGGAGTTTTAAATGGTGTGTCTCTAACCTGCTCAGCTTCAAGCACACACAGACCTGACTAATTTATTAAAAACTGCATTTACATCCCAGCTGGTCTCCTGCTACAGCAGAATGACTCTGATACTTCTTGTCAGACTCTGACATTTGTCACCAATTATTTTCTAATATAGAGCACATACTGTGCTTTTAAGACCTAGTTCAACATTGTTGGTAAACAAGGCAACTCTAATATGACTGTGTGCTCATCACTGAAGATAATGCAATCAAGAATTACACAGCGGGGAAAATGGATGCTCCCTGGGCCTGATTCACTGATTGGCTTACTACAAACATTAATCGCTCTATTGGTTTTTCCTTTCAAAGAGGACGCTGTGTGGCAACAGGTAAACGAGAGGACTGTCATCTGTGTTTGTTCAGTTTGGTTTGGTTGGGGAACAGGCAGGGCTGCGTTAAGTGTTCGATGATGTGAGTGAAAGGTGGTTTAATGAGGCTGACACTGAATCACTGGCTTGTTGTTAGGTCTTCCGATCACCCCCCAAAAACTGAGCGGTGGGCCACAGCAGTGACATAAATTTTATCCCATGGGAGCAAACAGAATGTGTCTAATATAGATGAAGGGCCGATGGGGGATTTCTGACACAGCTGTCTGTTTGACTCATTTGTGTTAGACAAATATCAAGTGACGTTTAGATATTTTCCAACATAACATAGTGACATATTTGATTGTGCATGCTTGCGCCTTTTAGTGGTAAGCTCATTAATACGGTATTAAAAGTGAAATGCACAATACATTGTGTGCTACAGAGCACGCAACAACAGTTTTTATAGGGAATATTTTTTCAGTAACCACGAAAACTGTTCACATTGTAGATTATGCTGAGAAAACAGGATAATATTTCTCGGAAAACATGTTGCTATGGAGTCTTTTGTTATTTTTCAGTTACTTCAGCTAGTGAAGAAACATTTAGCCAATTAACTAATATTTGATTAACAGAAAATTAACAGAACTATTTTGATAATTACTATTTAGGTTGTATACAAAACAAAAATGCCAAACACTCGCTGATTCTAGCTTCTCAAATGTGAAAATGCACTGCTTTCACCTGTTTTCTATCAGTATAAATTTCAGTATTTTGGGGCTTGGGATTGTTGGTTGAACAAAACCAGCAATTTCGAGGCATCACCATGGTAACTGGAAACGTGATGGGAAGTTTTAAATGTTTGACATAACATTTTATAGATCAAATCATTGATAAAAAAAATAATAGATTACACCTTTTTCTTGTACCACAAATTAAATTGTATTCACTCTCTTGTTTCAGTTGGTAGCAAAAACTAAAATAAACTGTATATCTCCAAACCACAGTAGATACAACTGCGATCACTAGGGGTTAAGTGAGATAATTTGTTTGTACTTGGTTGCACAGACCTTATAAAGCATTTCATTTACTGGCCCCTTTATGTTGGTTGCACCTAGATTAATGGGATGAAACTTTCTCTGTCACCCACACCCACACACGCACACGCACACACACACACACACACACACACACACACACACACACACCGAGGGCAGAAGAGTCTTTTCCAACAGCACATTTGTATTCACTGCAGGGTTCTTGGGTTTAAAATGAAAAATTATATAGAGCACAATGTGAGTGTTTGTGTTTTTAGTCAAGGCTTGTGTGACCTCGGTCGCTTTGCCCCTCTTGTTTCCTGTCTGCAGATCATGTGGTGTGTGAAGAAGAGTTTAAGTATGCCATGCTGGCTTTAAACTGTGTGTGCCCTGGTACCTCGACGCTCATCACTCTTTTGATCCACTCCTCCAGAGGACAGTGAGTTCTCTATCCCTCTTTCTATAAGACTGTTCACGGTACGGTTTTATAGTCTCAATAGTCAA